TCTAAATATTGAAATGAAGACTGTTTTTGAGTGGGATTCTTGTTATCCGGGATAATTTGTGTGGTTGGATGAATATTACTTCCAGAATTAGACTATTACTGTGCCAGGTGGAGGCCAGTCGTAGTTTTACAAAGAGCGAAGCTATCATAATGAAGCAATTACCCGGCATGGCTTTCATAATAGCACAATGACCAAAGACTATTGCAAACAAGTAAATCATGTTCATTAAAACATCATGTTTATGAAGTTTTTGTTTTGCGTGAGTTATCTGTTAGAATTAGTTTAAAATGTAGTGATGACTTTATAACACTTTGCATTTTACAATTACATTACAATACTTCAGCTACGACAGTATTTTTACATTGTAACTTTGCTTCAAGAGTAATTGGGTGGAAAGGGAATCTATTAACTTACCTGGACCAGTTGCATTTGGTGTTGCACGCAGATTGAGGTGTGAAGCGTCAATATCCCCAAATCCTGTAAGCCTAACTGGTCTGGACCTTTCCCAATCCGATTAATCTGCCATACAACTACGTAAAACAGATACTACTAAGGCCCCGTCTACACGTAGCAGGGTATCTCACAAACCGAAGATATTTTCCTACGATCTGGCCTATCATCCACACAAACCCGGAGTTTTCTGTCGATAAAAACGAAGGTTTCTGAAAACTCCGGCCAAAGTGAAGATTTGGGAATTCTCCGGTTATGCGTTTGAGTGTGGACATAAATAACCGGAGTATTCGGCTGTACGTCACTACCAGCGTGCTGCTCTGACGTCACACGCGCGACCTGTGTTTACATCAGAAACAACATGGAGGCCATCAAAACCGCTTTTGTTTTAACGATTGTTCAGGCACTTTTTGCTTGCTTGTTTTTACAAGCTCAAATACTGCTTCACGTTGAAGAGCACAGACGAAGGAGCACTTTACAACAAAACGTATAGTTTATAATTAACCAATGCAAAAACATACCTGTAGCAGATCTCTCCTCTGTTTGACTGTGTGTGCCCCACTCTCCTGCTCGGTGTCCGACGCGGCATCAGATGGCTCCGTAGTAGCGGACGTAGAAGGCGAGGGAGCGGGGAGGCTATCATCCAAGTCATTTGTTTCAATGCCCGACGACATGGTTGTAGTGGCGGGGGACCCACCCCATATTTGTTCACATAACTCAAAATAAAGGTGAACGACTCTGCCATACCCGCTTTTGCGTCCACTGTCAATTGCCTGGCGATATTTGCTCCTGATGGCCTTTATTTTTGTTGTCAGGATAGCCCGAGTTAGCTCTCCGTTTCCATGGGGAAAGTCATTGGAGGTCTCCGCGGGATAATGCTCCAAATATAGAGTCAATAAGTCCACATACTTGTTTTGGCAAGATTCCCAATCAATGTTTTCTTGTGTCTTGTTGACCTTGTACTCTAAAAGTACGTTTAGGAGCAATTCTGCCTCCTTGTCAGTCCACACGAACGAGCCTGGCGCCATGTTTCATGTTTTGCGGAAGTGACGTCAAGGACGGAGACTAGCTGTAATTGGATAGAATTTGGGGAACTACTGCCGCCTGTAGGTTTGAAATGTAATTGACAACGCATGTATGCGGTTAGGTGTGGATGCCGTTTTTTTAAAAACCGAGGCTGTGTGGACAAAAGTTTTTTTTTAGGCGGAGGGCGGATTTATAAAGGCCCTGCTACGTGTAGACAGGGCCTAAGACAAGACGAGCATATTTATTTATGTAATGCTTGTCATGCTTGTAAAGTATTAGAAATTAGAAATTAGAAATATTGCTATCTCTCATTTGGCTGGGCAATAAATTGCATTTAGGCAATTAATCGGCTTTTGAACAAATTTGTGAAAAATTTGAAAAAAATGTAATCGAATGAAGGATATTGTGAGAATTCCTGCAGCACATGAATTATACTTTCAATATCAGCACAGTCTGTACAAGACTTATATAATACGTATTGGGGTAAACAAATAAAAAAAGAAATTTAAACGGAAAGGGTAAAGTCAGTCTTCAGTGATTTTTATGAAAATTCGTTTAAAGCAGGAAAAAATATTGAGATTTTACTTTTTTGCCATATCGCCCAGCCCTAATCTCTCATTTTGTTCATGGCAATGATTCCTACAGTCACTCACCGTCCACCATCCAACTGATGACATATCTCACCTTATTTAGACCAATGTACATTTTCATATTTCAACAATGAATGTAAGTAAGTAAGTTAGTAAGTTTTTATTTATATACCGCCTTTTTACTGCAGATCTGAGTCTCAAAGCGGTTTACAATTGTTAATTTTTTTTGGGCATTTGTTTCTCACTCCACACAGAGATGGGAGCGGGGTCACCAGTACAGGAGGCACATGCCAGAACTATTGGACATATTTTTAGTGGTAGGGGAAACCGGAGTACCCGGGGGAAACCTACGCAGACACGGGGAGAACATGCAAACTCCACTCAGAAAGGCCCTGGTCCGACCGGGATTCGAACCCAGGACCTTCTTGCTGAGAGGCGAGAGTGCTATCCACTCAGCCACCGTGCCGCCCTATGTGTGGTAGTTGACCTTTTTGCACGCCACTTTAAGAAAGTTGTTCTTCTAAGGAGGCACAACTATTTGAATGTTTTTTCTCTGGAACTTGGAATGTCTCAGGAAATGTTGGTAATACCTGACACTTGTTTACAGTTATTTTACTGCAGGTTTTTTCTGATTGCAATGTGTTTCTTGTGGACTTTTATGGTGTCACAGATGCACTATAAAAGATACAGGTGTGACTTTCAGCACGCAATATCAAGTCTCTCTACCAAATTGAATCCCTCTATGACTTCCAAATTTTGTGCGTGGTGCTACTCAGTCGTTTTCTGTGCTCAGGACTTAATTACAGTTTCAAAGTTTGTCTGGTAAGTTACTTGAAAAAGACTGATAAAGCGGTTTGTGGGGAAGGCTGAACAGAGTTATTTTGGGTAGCGTTACTAGCGTATTCCATATGATCTTTTTGGGGTTTGTGGTGATTGCAGCTGATCGAAAATGCGGTAAACAAAACTTTGGTTCTTATCTTGTGCACTTGATCTGCTTGTGGCTTGGTTACATGCAGGAACAACCTGTAGGTCTTCACTTGGTACAGTCTATCCACAACACCTCAAACCTTTCCTATTCATGTTATTAAGTATTTGTTGTTGTTGTCAAGCTATCCCACTTCAAAGTCTCATCATAATTTCCTATTTTACAGAGTTATTTCCTCTGAATTATTGTGTTAATTGTGTGAAGCTCACTTTTGGCACAAGTTTGTGTAGCCTTGGAAATTGAATCCACAGATTTACCTGGATGCGCTGAAGTGGAATTGCTTCAGGCATTATGAATGGTTCACAACAACCTACTACAAGCTCTCTTCTCTTCAGCTCAGATTAGCCCTGGCTGGGTCTGGAGGGCATGTAGGAGCCTATTGACAGGATTAAGCGTCTATTGAACTTCAACTTCAACACTTCAATTTGAAGTGACTTTAGCTCAAAAACAAGACAACTGAATGAGCCTACTCTATTTGTTAAAGTATACTGGTGTCTAGCCCTTATTCCCTTCATCTTCTCTGCATATGTGATCCCTCAAAGGCCCAGAGACTTGGTTGTTGGTAATGTGGGTTCTCAGTCATTACAGGTTTAATTGCAGATTGACTGAACAAATAATTAAGAAGCGTGTGCTGTGCAGTCCTGATGATTGTAGGTGTGTGTCTCTGTGTGGGCAGCATACAAACTGTTTTGCTTTAGGCACATTTCCTGTGGCACTGAGTCAATACAATTCAAATTATTGTACATTTTTAATTGTACAATAATTCAAATATTTGAAAAAATCGTGTCATGAAACCTATGCGGAAGACCGTGTCACAACAGAAGACATTTTATTGTTGGTAAAAAGTTACGACCAGAGTTTTGCAGCATGCACATGAATTTATAGAAGACAAAACACAGACACCCCTCAGCATCTGCCATGGCGCCAATAGATATGTTAGCTTCGACTTTCAGATAACCAAAATATCTAGTGGATAATCACCGACTTCTGCAGACTTTCGTAGCGATAATTTCAGTTTTAACGTAGTTGCATCAAAAATGTCCACACCTATACTCATACCAACAACTGGAAAATGGTCTGTTGAAAAGATTTGAATCCTATGCAGGGACAGATGACATCAAAAGTTGGTTGCTGCATAAAACAATGCAATTTAACAACAATGTGACTGCCGATGGTTTAGTCTGCTGACATCGTTAGTGTCCTTAAATCGGTTTGTGTTTTCTTTATATTACATTGCAAAAGTTCCACAGCTGCTTTTTAACTGCTGTGAAGATGTTGAATCTGGAAGCTGCTAACCCTGTACATTGTGTGTAAATGTTCTTTTTGTCTTTAGGGATCTTTGCAATTGTTAAATAATGATTGTGAGTGAGCTTTGTTTAACAGTTGTCACCCCATTTGCACTTTTAGACCGGCCTACATATTCAGTAGTGTGTGAGTATTAGCATATGAGTGGTGAGTGTTTGAGAGTGTTTGTCCTTAACAAAAGAGCTGAAGTACAGGTCAGTGTCTTCATCCATGATAATGGTCCTCTGAAAAGCAAACTTAACACCTTAAATAAATTGCTTCCACCTCCCCCCTTCAGTCCTCACATATTTAATCTCATTGTTCGTAAAGGCCCACGGAAAACAAAGTGAAATGTATTAGTTATATGTAGCCTATGGTCATAAATAAAAAAGCATATCAAATTATAGTACTTTGATTGACGTTATTGGTGATTGAATTCACACAAGACTTTTTAAAATTATTAGAAGTACGTTTTTCTAACCCTTGGCATATTTTATCTTATGTGGATTCATTTTTTTAAGTATTGCTAAGCTGCTGTTCATCCTGTTGCATTTGTGTGGTTTAAAGTATATGGAACAATTGAATATTGTAACATTCTTTGTTCTCTTTGTTAGAATATTGTGCCAGTGTGTCTTCTATTAAAACATGTGTATTTGTGTTGACAGGTGTAAGAGCCGGGCCCAGTCTTCAGTCTGGCAGCTGTTTGGAGGAATATGTCGTCATCACCACTCGCTGCGCTACATCCCGCGCAGAGCCGTCCTCTACTGCCCCGGCAATGATGAGCGCAAACTCCGGAAGCTCGCCTCGCTACGTGTTGACTGCGCCGTACTCGACTGTGAAGATGGGGTAGCCCTCAGCAAAAAGGTACGGACAGACAAGTGTATGTGTGTAATAGAAACACTGCGGGAGTCCCACTAAGAAGCACAGTACAACACAACACACCACAACACAACACACAACCTGATGGCAAGAGCTCTCAATTTGTGAATGCAAGAAACTGCATTTAATAAGACTAAGGAATTTTAGGGAATGCAATCATATAATACTGTTTCGATTAGAAAATATATTTTGAAGTGAAACAAAATGCATGTAATTGTAAAGAAACTGTTGAAAAGCTCTAAAAGATTGTACATTTTTTCAAATCCATAGTTTTCATTTCTTAAGTACAGAGGAGACCAGAAGTTTACATACCCTTTGTAAGAATATATAGCTTTTTTTTTTTCTTATTGTCTGAAATAAAGTATTTTGTATTTTATAAAACGTAATATTAATAATTCAGATAATTCTGTCAAAATGAACAATGAAGACACTCTTAGAGTTTTCTTAGAATATGAAATAGTCTTTATTGTAACCTGGCTAAAGCTTTAAGAAAATACACAGAAAAGCATTTCAGCCCAACAGGCCTTCCTCAGTGAGCAAGCAGATGCACCATGTGCCAAGTGTCCAATAGGGAGGGGCTTCATTAGGGCAACCTCCGACAATAAATCAATTACATTCACTTAAAGAAGCCCCAACACTTATTTACTAATATTTGCATAATAATACATTGTTTTTTGATAGAAGACCTGTTAAAAAGGAGATATAAATGAAAAAGATATCAAAGATTTCCTTACCATCTACATGAATTCCTTTTGAACTTAATCTTTTGAAAGCCTCCTCTAGGCAGGTGCTTGGGCTATAGCCAGGTGCATTTTCTTAATCACTGAAGGGAAAACTACCTAAGTAAGATGTTTAAAACAAGCGCATTTCCCTCCATTATGGTGGCATAAAGGCAGAAACTGCCCCCTACGTGGCCCTTTAAAACAAGGTGACCACATCCCACTGGGCGAGCAGCGGGAAAGCACCAGATGCAGCAGGTTAAAAGCATTCTCCTCCAGCCCCCTCCTCCTCCCATTGGCCCACATGAACTGCCCATGAAATCCTGATTGGAGACTAAGAGAAAGAGGAGTTAAAGTTGAGAAACAAAGGGTTTTAAGCCATGATAATAAAGATGATTGATTTGGCCTGAGGCTGTTCCTGTGGCACAGACAAAGACAATACGATGATGCCTGTGTGACTGACCCTGCGTCAGAGTTTTGAGGATGCCAGGCTTTATGTGTGAGAATGAAATGTGGTGAGGAATGCAGCTCAGAAGAAATCTATTCAGTTCTGTCTCTATTAGTTTCAACAAACATAGTTCAGTTTATACATGGAGATGCCTGGAGTGCTCACTAAAGTTGTTTGTGTCCGTAGTGGTGTGACAACAGGTGTGAAATAACAAAGAAATGTCCATGACACATCTGATGGCTTCAAATATAATTGTACATATACAGTGTAAATGTATATTCGTTTGATATTTGTTACAAGACGCAGCTATTTGTGATAATGACATGAATGACTCAATGATTACAGTCAGTTGTGTGTATAAAATACTTCCATCCAATTCCTCAACTTGTGAAAAGCACCAAAATTGCTCACTACAATATGTAAGTTTAGGATGAAAAATGGGAGAAAAAACACATTGTTGTTCTGTAAACTAATTACTTTTCTCCCAGCACATTCTAACTCAGAATATTGCTCGACAGTTTTACTCAGCATTTAGGGTATTTGTATTGAAGTACCAGCCATTAAGCCAGTGTGACAGCAATGCATAAGACTGACATTACTTTATCACATCCCACCTATACATTTCAGTGAGCTGCCATTTTTCAGCTGTGTGATGTACCAAGGTCCAATTTGAGCTCTTGTTTTTTTTTTCCTTCTGAAGAGTCTGGCTCACTGTGTGTAAAACCTGTCGCTTATTCTCCACATGTGTCAGGTCATACTGTGAAATATAAAAAATTAGTTATTTACTCGATAACATAATAATGTAGCTCTTCCTACGGGGACCCTTTCTTCACTTCCCACACACTCTACTCTGGCAATTGTAAATCCACAGGGGTTGTTATGTATTATTTGATTCCTTCACTTAAGATCATTCCCCAGATGTTTGTGTAGCAGCTGCCCAAGAAACCCATAGTTGTTGTTTTGGAGGGATTCATCCGCTGATGTTAAAGTAAATAGTTTCACTGCGTGTTTAGTCAAGACAAAAAATATTAGCATTAGTAAACAGCAGCTGAGCAATCCCCTCTCTATAACTACTTAGTTTTAATGGATTCCTTTTAGTGACCGACAAATACATTTATCTACAACATAGATATCACTAAAAATGTGGATACAGATCTTTCAATGGGCTTGGAACTGCCATTATAAAGGTTTTTTCCCCTGGCAAGACTTTACTTATTTATGTCTGGGTTGTACTTTGTAAAATTTGGAATAGAATGTGTGTTACAAGTGCTGTAGTCAACCGAAGACATTCTTGGTCGATTAAACAAATATCCTGTCATTCATTCAAAAAATGGGGAGCAGCTTCAACTTTTTGAATCCGACCCAACCTGTACTCACCGACTGAAAAACAACTATCTCAGAAAACAATCTCAGAAATATTTTGCGATTGACTACGACATTTTGGTTTTGTTTTTAAAATTATATTACCTTTATGTTGTTTTGCTCCATGTCTTCTCATTTTGGAAGTTTTTGTGTAGAAAGTCTTGTATTTGAAGTGAAATATTCAGTCAACTACGCCCTGAACAATAGTCATGCTGTTTTTGAAGAAGACATTGAAGTATCCTACTGAATGGACAGTCCACCAACAGCAGGTGGCGGCAGGTGAGGTGAAGTCTGATCTTAGTTAACTGTCACATATGGATACACCATACATTGAAACCACACTTTCCCTATTGTGTTCATTAATGTATTCTTTTTATTGTGTGTCACCTTCACCCTTGATGCCTTACGGGCAGGAAGCTATTTAAGACAGAAAGTTGTCGGTAAGGAGATGAGAAGAGTAAAGGCTAGGAACCACCCAGCGCTTGCTAACTGTCTGTGTGGAGCCAGAGGGAGAGATAAGGCTGAGTGCTCTTACACTTTTACAGACATCATCATATCAGTATGATCAGTGGGGTTGAGGAGGGGGAGGTTAAACCAGGAGCGGAACTGACGGCTACACCTGTCCTCTCAGTGTTCCCCACTCGCCCCTCGCTCCCTGTCACTCCCTACAGGGTTCTCAGGGTTAAGATTGTTTATCTCAGGTTTTTCCTCTCTCTCTCTCTGCGCCCCAGGACCTGCAGTGTTCTTGCCAGTCTCTTCTCTTTTCCCTCCCCACATGGGTCCCTCTCTTCCTAGACCGCAACCCCCTCCCCATATCAGCTTGCCGTAGAGATTCGCTTCTAATCCCTGGAAGTTTGGAACTAATGAACTAACTGCTGAGCCGCTGCCACGGAGCTTGGTCCCAGACTATACTGTACTTCACACTCGATTTCCTCTCCAGATGGCATGGTGGCGCAGCCGACACGGCAGGGAGCACCTCTTACACACCAGCACGTGCTCATGATACATACGGCCACGCAAGACCTGCACTACTATCACGAGCACATGCCCTCTCCACAGACAACCATCAGCCCTTTGTCAATACCCTGCATAGTTATGACTTCAGATTGATTTTAAAACTCTCACACACAAAAACAAAGCAAACTGAAGACCGACAAATTTGCCCCAACCGTGCTGTCAAGAGGACCTTCAAAGTTTGTTCACTCAGCCATTAGATTTAAGTCAACAATAACAATAACAACAACAACAATAATAATAATAATGTTAATAATTATGCAAGAAGCTTACCATGTTATTATTCTTTCACTCCGTACATGGTGCCACAGCTGCGAGGCACCGGTATGTGCCATTGGCCCTTCCGAACACAACCACCACCAACCATGCTCGCATACACCGGACTCATTCTAGGCAATATGGGGGAAGTGTCTTGCCTAAGGACACAACAACAGTTTGGCACTTTACAGCCGCAGCCGCCCTGTGGCACCTGGTGTCCCCAGAAGTCTCCCATCACAGTACTAACCAGGCACTGCCCTGCACAGCGTCAGAGGTCGGCATGAAAGTATTGCATGGAAAGCACTCATGTGACCTTATAAGTTTCATGTTTATAGGATAAATGAAAAAGAAGCTATAATCCCCACAAATGTATTAATATCACAAATGTAACTACTCCCTCCAACGTAATGAAATTCAATACTGGTAATAATTCCCTGAAAATTTAATATCAATGTGCAGAGCTACTGCAGCTTCTCAATCTACAAAACATGGGAAGAAAACAATTTTCTACAAGCTCTGAAAAGTTCAAAATAATGTTAAAGACCTGTTTGAACACTTCATATTTTCTTACAAAAAAAAAAAAGACAAGTCACAACCCTCTTTGCTTCAGTCCCAAATCCTGATTTTCAAGAGTTCTTGGTTGGAAAAATTGCCAGGTCAATCATGAGTAGTTTTTTTTCTCTATAAAGGAACAATTTGGTTTCCGAAAAGATCAGAAATGTTTTTAATTCTCCAGTACATGGCATTTAAACAGAGGTTCTGTTATCAAGAGCTCCCTGGCTTGAGCTCACTGGGGTCTATGAATGAACTGTGCCTGACACCAGCGTTTTTACCATAATATATTCAGCCAACTGTCAAGAGTAACAACCCCAGCTCATTGCTCACTGTAGGCAGATCTGCTCTCCATTTAAGTGGATTCAAATGACTAGGCCCTTGACAGAAAGAACTCCTGGGAAATGATGTTAACCAGTTGAATTATGAATACTGAATATTTCCATTTACTGCAAGGCTGTGCGTTGTTGTGTGCTGAGGTCTAGTGTGTGTGTGCTTAACACCTCAAAGGGCCCAGGAGACACGAGGGAGAGTCCCAGTCAGACTGCCAAGGCTTGCACATACACAGGGGATGTAAGGCGCTCAGCCATAAAATAGACCCTGTCCATATCCCGAGCAGAGCAGGCAGGTTCAAGCAGTGTCTCATGGAGGACTGTGGAAGTGTCATGTGCCTGAATCGATCGGCTCCTTTGGGAGACGATGAAAGGTGGACGTGAGGTCAGGGAGCAGGGCAGTGGTGACAGCAAGGTCATTCGCAAACTGTGATGGAGGTTTAGTGGGGTTTTGGAAAGTTTGATTTATACATAAACAAAACATTATATACAATATTATGCAGGTGCTTTTATTTAGAATGTTGTTCATATTTAATCTGAAATGGATCAGGGAGAAAATACACTTTCTTATAGAATAGTCTTTAATCTAACAGTCTTTAGTTTCCCTTATCCTAACTTTGCTGTTGCTTCCTGTTTAAGCATCCTTGAACTTCACCACCTCCACATCTTATTAATCTTTTCTGGTTTTGTGTAGACCTTTTTATTTGTTTATTTTACTGTCTTACTCCTGAGGATGGGTGAGGATTTGGGATAAAATGTCGACATGGGTAGAACAAAGCCATTTTCTCTCTCTCTGCCTCTTGCTCATTATTCTGTTACAGTCTGATGTTTTTACTGGCAGTATCACAAGGCCGCATGTCTCGGCCGACTTTTGCTGTGTAACACACCCAAAGCTCAGGAAAAGTCCTGGTTGATGAAGTGATGATGGAAGAGTGGAAGAGGATAGCAAGATACCACTGGACCAGGGGGAAGGGGAGAAATGTGGCACATGAGGGGTTTGGACTTTGTTTTTGTCTGAAAACTCACACATAGTTCACAATTATAACATTAGTGACAAAATGATAACAAATTACGTGTTGTTAAAATTTGCAACTAGCATTTACTGTCTTACATTTACTCCACTTGTTAGTTTTTCTATTTTGAGTTCCCTGCAAAGATTTAATCCTGTTCCTATGGGTTGATGATTCTGTCACAATATTTTTCAGTAAAAACAACATACCCAGAATCAAATTACTTTCCATTTAAACATTACAGTTGATATAGCCACACTTTTAACTTTCACTGCATCACTGTTTTAAAAAATGTGCAAGTCATCTTATCCATTCTAATGATCAGAGAACGTCTGTATTTACCCTTTGTTACCTGGTTATGTCTTGTCTGGTTGACAGGAAGAAGCTAGAGTATCTTTTCGCTTGTCAGAATGATGGCTACTTTCTTTCTCTGGTTCTCTTCTGTTCATTTCCCCTGAATTAGTCTGTCATCTCGCCTACGTTTTTTGTAGTGAGTTCTGTACTTGTCAAAACCTACCTGCGATAACTTGAAGTCTGCTTATTTCCAACACACAAATTCATGTCTTGACAGCAGTCAACTTGTAAACAGTGACAGTCCTCGCCTGCACTACTCCAAAGATCTCTCTAAATGGTATTACAAGTTTCACAGCTGGGTGCATTGTAAAGATCTGCCAAAAAAACTTTACACCAGCAACCTTGTACAAACTTTTGCCAAAAGGTTTGATGCACAAGATCAGATAATTAATGTAACATTTTTAAATCTAGATTTCAGTTGAACGTTAAGTAGCTAACTTTGGGGCCATGGGGAGGAAGCTTTCTCATGGTGTTGAATTTATAGATTGTTGCGACAGGTCGGACCTCCTTTATTGGCTTACTATTACATGTAATGTGTTAGGGTTGCCTAGCTCTTAAGGGTTCGCCTTGTTTGTGGGTTTATCCACAATTTATTCTGAATTTGAGTCCACCTCTTTTTCACAATTCCTTACTCTATTATTTCTATGGAAGTAGCGAGTTGTGTACTGCATCTTAACAGTATTGACTGAAAGTCCTCTGAGGATGTATCCAGAGGCAATGTTTGATGCTGCTTGTTTTAAACCTTGTGGAAAGAGTGCTGGACATTGGTGATCTGATGTTGGGGAAGAAAGAGTCTCCTGCTGTGGCCTGTATACTGTGGTTCTGGGGCCCATCTTGATGTCGCGTCTGCGCACTGGTGGCCATGCTGTGTCACGTGTCCAGAGCACTTGGTAGGATCCTGGGTGCTTTTTCCATAAACTGTGGGCTGAGGATGTGGCCTGGCTCCCCCAGGTCAGCCTCTCTGCACATGAAAGGCCTCTCATGTGCATCTGTGTGTGCTCTGTCCTGCCTGGCCGCCTGGTGCACTGCTCGCTCACTCGCTAGCCTTCCCTAGTGTCAGTGTCTAATGATGGACATGATAGTGGGAATCAAAGAGGAGATGGAGCTGACGTTAGGGCCGCTTCTCAGTGGGACACCAGGTGATTGGGGAGGCAGCTTTGAAGCAACTTGTTGGATGGCTGTCTATTAATGTAAAATATCTTTTTTTCAAACGACTTTATTCAAGCTCAGAGTAGCTGCGCCCATAGGGGTCAAGGTTTCTAGCAGAATAATCGGCTAAGCTGGGGGAACAAGGAAGTAAAAAAATACATAATATTTTACTATGTTCATAATGTCAGCCTACTTTGTTTCTACATGACGGAAGGCTTCTTTTACAATTTTTTTTGAAGCTATGGCTTGAAATATAATAGTTTTACGAAAACCTTAATGAAAACCTACAGGTTTGATAATACAGATCTTTTTGTCAATCTGTGCCATTGGCACCATCTTTTCAACCCCCATCATTTGCTTATGGAATCAATATTGAAAAACGGAAGGGGTCCAAGGCCAGAGTGACTTTTGTTCCACAGGCATGACTGTTTTCCTCAGATCAGATATCTCATGTCACTTAGAACCACCCAATGACAGACACGGTTTTATTCCCCAAGTAGCAGGTTTATGAATAGTGAATTATAGCTTCATAAATCGCTCCATCCGTTTTAAGTTACCAAGATACAGTTACAGGTCTGTCTAGGCTTATGTGGGCGACAGTAGACAGAGAAAACACAAGGTTATTGCCAGACATGGGTGAAAGATCACAGTACTCACTCATATGCTGTGACAATCCCTAATGTCTCATCCTATACTGCAAAAACGACACAGATGACTCTCCAAAGCCAAGCCAGCTCATGACCCCTATAAAACACGGGCAAATCTTTGATATGTATTTTGATACCATATTTTATTGATACTGGAGGCGCTGCCATAATATCATGTACAGTTCTGCATTCCAGGAGATCAGAGAGAGGAGCTGTTCCCTGACCCATATAAGCTCTAAGTCTGAATTCATCCTGTTGCCTTTTACTAGAGATGGGCTGCTTAAGTTATGTCTGTCGACAGCTTTCTTTAATGCCCCCTGCTCACATAAAGTTAGGATTTATTATGGTAATAATCAGTCTGTTTGGATAGTGTACCCTTCTGTTAACACTGCCATCTTAGGAAAATGAAGATCTTCAGCAAGCTGTAATTGCTTTTTCTATGAACAATAATACTTTAAAACTTCAAAACAATGTATCATTTTTTCATACTGTTTCATTATGCAAACTACTCACTGCAAGAATCATTTGTCAAAGACAAATTATTTGTCTTTGTACTTTTAATCAGCAATTACATTAGTTTAAAAACTTTGATTTTATTGCAGAGTAATATCCTTAATGCAGGTTCTCTGCTTCGTCCCTCCCTGCTCACCCACATAGTAGCCCTCTGTGGTTTGGCTCTCTGATCTGACCTGACATCTTCTAAGCTTCTGTTTCCTCAAGGTTCTTAAATAGGACCACATTTTCTCCCTAAGCACTGCTCCCTGACTTCAGAGCTGGAGTTACCAGTCCATCTCAATTTCTCTCTCCTCTACTCTGGTAACATCTGGTTTGAATCTGGCAACGTGTGCTACCATGTTTTAGGTCTAAAGGCCTCTCTTTGATTCCCTCACTATTTTTCCAGTGCTATTCATATAATGCTGGTTTTACTGAAAGTCTCCTCAATCTAAACCTGGTTGGAGTTTTCATTCCAGTAAAATATACAAACAGGATTACAACTTGAAGATAAAACTTATTGTGTTTCACATTTTCTGAATATTTATTGCTGCTTATGTGTGCAGACAGAGGCGAGGGAGACCATTCCCCGCATGTTGGCCGAGTTGGATCTGGGCCGCACAGAGAAGTGTGTGAGGGTGAACTCTGTGTCCAGTGGTTTGGCTGATGCAGATCTCCAGGTCATCCTTCAGACCAGGGTGCTGCCCCCAGCCATCATGCTGCCCAAGGTGGAAAACACTGATGAAGTCCAATGGGTAAGAGCTCAATGTCATTTTTACACTCATTATGCAACGCCACACAGCTTCATTGACAACAACGTGTGAATCAGAATCACAATAATTTATTAAAGTCCACTCATGTAGGTCAGCTCAACAGTAGTAAGTAGTAGTAAGTAAGTAATCTTTATTTATATACCGCCTTTTCACTGCTGATCTGAGTCTCAAAGCGGTTTACAATTGTTAATTTTGGGCATTTGTCTCTCACTCCACACAGAGATGGGAGCAGGGTCGCCAGTACAGGAGGCGCATGCTAGAACTATTGGACATATTTTTAGTGGTAGGGGAAACCGGAGTACCCGGAGGAAACCTACGCAGACACGGGGAGAACATGCAAACTCCACTCAGAAAGGCCCTGGTCCGACCGGGATTCGAACCCAGGATCTTCTTGCTGAGAGGCGAGAGTGCTATCCACTCAGCCACTGTGCCGCCCGGAACAACAGTAACAGTGTCATTTACATCACAGTGGAGACATACAGAACAAACACACATCAAACAGGGGACAACAATTTAGGACCTTTTCATAAGGGAATGATTTTGTGACTGAATGTTCTGAGGTGATTCCACGGGCTCTCGGTGTGATGGGCCTGTGAAAAGTGTAGGGTGTGACCAGAGATCTTAGATGACAAATATGGAGTTTGTCGCTTGAGTGCGAGTTACCTTACTGGACTATTATTGATGAAGTATTATTGCTTTCAATTATGGCTGTGTAGAACTGAGTGAGGAAGTTGTGTCTGACCATCAACTTTTGGAAGCTTCTGAGGAAGAAGAGGATTTTGTGTGAGTCAGTGTTGATGGACAGAGATGATTTTGAGTGTGCATGTCCGTGATGAGGAAACACGTAACTGGGTTGCGTGCACAGTAATAATAATAATAATAATGCATCGGTTTTATATAGCGCTTTTTTGGACACTCAAAGACGCTTCACATGTGTCATTATTCATTCACTCCATACACGGTGGTGATAAACTACTGATGTAGCCACAGCTGCCCTGGGGCACACTGACAGAGGCGAGGCAACCAGTATGCCGCCATCGGCCCCTCTGACCACCACCAACCATTCATACACACACCAGACTCATTCTAGGCAATGGGGGTGAAGTGTCTTGCCTAAGGACACAACGGCAGTTTGGCACTTTACAGCCGCAGCCGCCCCACTGTGGCTGGTGTTCCCAGAGGTTAAGTGTCTTGCCAAGGACACAACGACAGTAGTCAGTGGGAGTTGATGGTGAAGGTCTTGAGCGGGGCTTGAACCCACGACCTTCTGGCTCAAAGGCCAACGCTCTACCAACTGAGCTACTGCCGCCCAGTCAGTAGCTCAGTCAGTAGTAGATCAGGGGTGCACAGAATCGCACACAAAAAATACTGCCGGGTTCTGGTGGAGTTCAAGCTTGTAAAAGTTGTCAGGCTCGGGTTCAGACGGAATCCTTTCGGCCTGATTACATTCTTAACGTCATATAGGGATTCAACAAAGCTTCAAGCCAGTTATTGACCTGTGGAATTTATGTGCAGGTATGATTTAATTGAGTAACTGGATGAATCATTGCAGCCCTGTCTGGGGCTGGTTGCATTTCTGGTCAGTGCTGTCCTTGTTCAGCTTGTTAGTTTAAGTGTACGGCCGTATATTGAAAGGTTTCCAGTGGTGTCTTATTCTTTCCATCTCTGAATGATAGAATGATAGATAGATCTGGTGTATTTACAGCTCCTGCTCTTCATTAATACACACGGACACGGATGTCCCGTCCTAATGAACAAACAAATAAAACTACCCTTTTTGTACATTTTTAAACCTTTTTGAAGATCTTCAAGGGGTCAAATTTCACCTTAAAAAGCAGTGATTATGTGCTAATAGCATGTATTTCTGTATTAATTTTCTTCATGTAAACACAGTCATGGCAGGCAGGAACAGGAAGTTTTTAATTAGGACTTTTCATTAGAACATGTCTCTTTCCTGCCTGCTGCCCTCTTTCTTCTGACTAATTACTGACAGGTGTTCAATGAAAATGTCTCCTCCTTCAGCCATTTCCCCCCATTTTCATGTCTCAACATACAATGCTAGTTGGATGTTATATGGGTTGTAACAACTCATCAATAGAATGGATTAAAATAAATGTGAATTTTAGTACCAATATAGTACACATTATCATGTTTATTTTTGATTTGTTTTCTTTAATTTGGGCATTCATTTCCCTGTGTCCCTTTCTGTTCTCTCACAGTAAGAGCAGCTGCAGTTACGGCTCTGTGTCAGGTCCATATCAGTGTCCACAGGAGAATCCATGCTGCAGGATTTGTCCTAGAGTTTTCAGGAACTTGTTTTTATGTCACACAACATGGCAGCAAGAGGCCACAAGTCGGTCTTTAAACTTTTCCATGTTATCTGCAGACTACTTCATATTATATTCATATAACTCATATGTTAAAGCTTCATGTACTCAGCTAATTGAAGTACTCTGGTGTTGATCCAGGAAACAACATTCTACAACATTTATGGACATTGGTCAAACTCCCCCTATGGACCAACCCCTTTGTGTTCTATATTTTTGAGTTTGACTTGTTTGATTCTCTGATCTGAGATTTAACAGTTTTGTTAGGTCCTGAGTGGTCTACACAAGAGGGCTACACAAGATTGAATTGAATGGAATTGAACTCCACACTGTGTCCACACAGATCACAGAGGCACCTTCGGTTTGTACTGAAGCTAATGCTAACACAAGGCTATCCTCGGCTGCCTTTACATTAATGTTCTACCTGTTTCAAACCATTCTCACAGAAATAATACTGCAGTAACAAACTTACACAGTGTCACAAAAAATGCAATTGATTTTAATAGGGGTGTAACAATACCTACACACAATGCACAAATGTGACGGTATACCCTTTTGCATATTCACGTAAAATGGCTTACTAAGAAATAAAACTAAAATCTAAAATAAACAGTTTAGTGTCGACAGTTTTGAACAGGGTTGTTTTGAGCAGTGATTTGTGAACTTCTGAAGTGAGGCAGAGTTCCTGATGTGTTGCGAGCAGTGAGTTCCATTGAGTGGTGGCAGCTGCAGCGAAGGCTCGGTTTCCCAAGGTTCGGAACTTTGTTTTGATGGAAGTGAGAAGGTTGGAATCGGGGATCTGAGGCGACAGGTGGGGCAATGTTGATTGAGGAGGTCGGTGAGATATGAGGGGGCCAGGTTATGGAGGGACTTGTAGGTGAGGGGTCCTCCTTGCAATACAAGGAGGAGCCCTTGTATTGCATGTGATTTGGAACAGTTGGTTGTTTGAGGACGGGGGTGATGTGTTCTCTGGAGCGGGTGTGTTTTGAATGGTGTGCATCATTTAATTTCAATTATTTAGTTATTCATTTTCAAAACTGACTTTAATACTCACTATATGAAATACAGGGGGCTATAATGAGTAAGCTGGGAGACAGAGCGACATAAGATGTGAACAAAGTGAACTTTTACGCAGATGTGCAGGGCTCCAGGACTGGCAGACAGAGTGATCTTAGGTGGTAGACGTGGACAACAAGCCGGGTAGATGTGCACTCCAAGGCGGACGGTGTTATAGTTCAGAGGGCTGTGTCAACGTGGGCCAATATTGGGAACAAGATCCTTACAATATTTTTTGGGAAAATATTCACTGACGTTTCTTTCAGTATTGATACTTGAGATGATCCAGTGGAGCAATATCCTAACATGGATGAACATTCATAATTTAGAACAAAACCCAATGTAAACAAATTTTTTATATGTATAATTGCTCAGTATAATCAGAAAAGCCTTCCGTATAAGGCAAAAAATTATATTATTTGTTGTGTTATGTTATTTGATCAATAATTAATTATGAAAAAAAAGAAAATTACAAACACATTATTTATTACAGCCGTAGTCTGTGAATGTTGCTATATCATTTCTATTTCCCTGAAATGGATTCTCTTTGACTGATTTATTGTCCAGCTCTTTATCAAAGCGTCAAGTCTATTTGTCTTGTCAAAGCAGCCCTAAATCCCCCAGCTTGTTTATTAACTCCCCTTTTCAATTATATTATCCACGAGAAGATCTGAAGTGTGATTTGTGGCTAAAAGATGGACTTGCATGTTTCTCTTTGTGCTGAAATCTTTAAGCTGGGCCTTCCTCCTCTTCCCCCGGCTCTTGTGTGACTGACAGCCCTTATTGGTCCATAACAGGCGTAACTCCCCTCCTTTGTCTAAGCAACAATTCTCACACACATTCGGAGCCGTGTGCGTTCTTTGGCCGTCGCAGTATTTGGGACTCAAAGCAAGTCCCCTAGACCCTCCTCCTGTCTCCTCCCCCTTTTTTCTCTCACTTCCCCTGTGTGAAATGAACACTTCAGCAGGCCGGAAACATTTAATCTGGCCTCCTTTTGAAGAAAATTAATTGAAACTTGTCCCACTATAGGCCCTTTTCTCGTGGTCAATCTCACCCTCCTTCTCTTTTCATGAAGGGCTGGTTGAAATTGTCAGAGGGCTTGCTTGTAGATGAGAGCTTTTGAACAGGAGGTTGTTTCTTCTGTGTCTTTTATATTTTTAATTTGACAGTGAATAACAGTTGAATGAGGTCCTAGATTCGAGAGCCATTGATGGTTATTAATTTCTTTTCAAGGATGAATGACTAAAGATCCACTGGCCAAGTGTAAGTGAAGCCCTCATCTTTGATAATGGGCACAGAAGAGCAGGAGTAAAGCGCCCCATTCTCACTTTATTAACCATTCAAGTTTGTGTCTCCACGTTGACAGTTGGCATTATGTTTGTTTCGCTAAAAGTCTTTGTGGAACCACCTGCAGCTTCTGACAAGTCAAGTATAGGACCAATATTTGGATGATCTATTTACTTTGTCTACAAACCGTTTAAATGCTTTTCTCTGCGGCCCTTTTTATTACTTGCATATTGTGTGTGTTCAACGACAATGCTTTGGTCGAGGTCCATTTAAGAATAAGTGGTTGAGTGGCTTTAACAAAAAATAGGTCAAGATGTTGAATGAGGAAGGCGTTCACTGAACTGGAGATTGGTGTTTGTTTCCAGTATGTTTCCAGTATAAACATATATAGACATCTCCATATTCTGGAATAGAATACACTCAATATAAACACTGTTATATTTTCTACGTCTCAAATAGCGTCTGACTTGTAGCTGTGTGATCGGCTTTCCGCTGCCACAGCTCGTAACCGTCCAGGTCCCAGAAATAGGTTTATCCACACCTTCTTTTCACACTCCCGGTGTATGCCCCGCCTCTTCCTGTGTTTTAGGGGGTGCTGTGTATTATGCTAAGCCCCCAGCGTTAGTTTTTATGTTGCCATAGCAGCCCTGCTCCCACAGGGTTGTGACCTCAGATGATTACAGTACAAAGCCTATTGGGTCTCCAAAACCTCTTTGAAGATGAAAAGTCTTTGATGGTTTGTATTTATGCAAATTTCTCAGATATTATTTATCCAACCGCGATTGAATGGAGAGATGATTAAAATTGCCCCCATTTTCCTAAATCTGTCAATGAAGTCCCTGTTTTTTAAGATGAACAAGAGTTGTAAGTGCTAGGGTGATTTGGGTGCACATTTAGCAAAATCTTAAAGCTTCACCTGAGGTTTTGTCCGAGGAAAAGGGACATGGAGTTAGACAATTCTACCCCTACTATTTTTTTTCTTTCTTTTTTCCGGCTTTCTTTCAAAGGAAATATCTAGCAGAGGGGGCTTTTGTGTGTTTCCAGATGATAGATTTTGGAATTTTGGCTACCCCACTGGCAGTCCCGGGCCTTGCTGTGAACTGGTCTGTTGGAAGAAAAAAAGGAATGCTTTGGTCTTCAAAGAATTAAACTCGGTTTTAAAGCCCTACTTAGGTGAGCTTGCATATTAGCAGGAGTCGTGGGGAATAAAGGCCTCAGCAAAGTGTCACATCACACTCTTGATTATGGCTCGGGTCTCCCTGTTCGCCGCCATGGAGGGTGCTAGGCAAAACTGAATAATGTGGCTGGAAAACACTCAAGACATCTCCCGTATCTGGTTTCGTCTTTTTTTATTCAGATTTTTGTTTGGTGGCGTGTGCAGGCTCTCTCGAGGGAGCTATACTTGTCAGTCTAGAGGACTTCAGAAGAGAGGAAACCCCGGTGATAATGTAAAATATTTCATTGAATTTGCTTTTGCTACTGCTGCTGTTCACTTCCTCCGACATGAAGTGAGTTTTTGAATAAAGAGCACAGGAATACAGGTAATGGAAGTCCCAATATTTGTACCATTTTACTTTTCTTTATTCTCTTGTGTTTTGGTGAATTTAAAATGGTTAAAATACAAATGGCTGTGTTCACTTTGCAACTTGTTATGATGCCCCACCCCCATGTTCTTCATTCATGGAGTTTGGGAATTGATAAGTTTAGAGTGGGCCTTTATTCTTTCTACTTGGGAGAAGACGCACTTTCAAACATATCACATGGCTGCAGTAGCTTTTTGATCTTCTCAGTGCATTTTAGTGAGTGGTAAGCGCATTATAAAACATACTATTTGTTACTTTCAGAAATGTTGGATTCACAGGGGTTTTGTAAAAGTATGTATCTGTGCTGAAGTGTATCCGCCACCTGTTTGCCTGAATTTATTTGCTTTCTTTCGTCCCACAGTGGAGACATTTCGGTTTCACTGCAGGATGGAATACGTTGTTTAATTCATAGCTGTTTTTTGGGAGGGAAAACAAATCTTGAGCAAATGCATTTTAACGTAGGCGTTTAACAGACCACAGACCTAAGCTATAACTTGGACCGGTTGTTTTCGTTCAATGTATGCATTTAATGTTAAAACAGTGGTCCGCAAAGCATAACTTCATAGAGGTTGTACAAGGGGATTTAACTGCAGTAATTTAGTGTTTTAGTGTTTTATGTTTAGCATTGTTGTATGCAGTATTTCTGTAGTCTTGAAATATTATGATTTTATCTCAATTGGTTATTTCATGTTTAGCCTTTTTCTCCATCCTCCATTGTTTGAGTAATTGTTGGACTGAAGCATTGTATACTAAAAGGTGGTTGTGAACTTTGTCCAAATTTTCAATGTAGACTAAAAAAAAACATGTATTAGTTTGTATTTACTACATGAAACGCATTTTGCCCCAAGTTCATGTTTCAGCTCTGCTACAGTGTGGCTTGACAGTACATACATGTGACACATTAAATACTATTTAGAAGAAGTTAATTATTGACGAATCTCTGGAGGTTTATTCTCCCATCTCCCTGTAAACAGTGGATGCAGTTAATGAGTGGAAATGTGCTTTGTGTGTAGTTCCTTGACAGGTTTCAGCATCACTTGAAAGGCCGTCCGCTGACAGAACCCATTCGCCTGGTCACCTTTGTGGAAACCGCACTGGGCCTGCTCAATTTTAAGGTAAATTACAAACAAACCCGCCTCCCAAAAAACTGCATGCATAAGACATTTTGAGCTGTTTGTCCATTGTTCACTTTAGATTAAAGCCTCATCACACAAAATAACAGAGCTCACTACGTGTCCAAATAAAAAAGAAAAACATTTCAAAGTGTTCGGACAGTCTTTCAAAAAGGAAAGGCTTTTTTGTGTCTGCCTCTGTCTGTTCCTCTGCGTCCCTTCCCCAGACACGCAGACATGTTTTAATTAGAAGTCTATTATTGTAATTATAGTGAAAAGTTGTTATTAATATTTTGGCAGCATCAAAGCCACTCCAGAATAACCTTCATTTGTGTGTGGAAAGTGCGTGATTCCGGGGTGTTTGGGGGTGTTACAAGCTGTCCCCGATCCTGTTCATTTGTCTCGTAGTTTTCGGTTTGGTTTGTGTGTGTGTGTGTGTGTGTGTTTGATGGCGGAGGGAGGGGGGCAGCTTTGTATGTTTTCTTGAGAACACCCTGTATCTGTGCCCAGATCGAGCCCTGACATAAAAAAACAGTGGCACAGCTAGTGGTGAAATTAATTTGGAGTCCAACAATGGCATGAGACGTGTTCCTATTGTTTCATGAGCTTCACAAGAGACAATCACAGTCCAGTTATTTGTCATTCAGTTGTAATAATTGTGGCTGCTGATTTTAATTTTAATGATCTGTTCTGTTCTACCAGGGATATTTTTCACAATAAAGCTTTTCTAAACTCTCGGACTCTTTTATATTGCAAATCTCTGGGATCCATATTTTATTGACTAACAACAAAGAACATGGTCGTGGTCGAGGAAATGTTTATTATGTCAATATACCTCAATAGAGACTAAAATGCAGTTCTTTCTTTCCTTTTTGAGCAAAATATCAATATCATGTACAAAAAGTATGCCGCTTATTTTCTTTTGAATGCCAAACAATTACGTAAATATACACATGAAAAATATAACAATGTAATCGAAACCAGAACTTACATAGATTAGCCGGTCAAATCTCTACCATAAATGAAACCGCATAATGAAGAGTATGTTTCAGAATAGATGCTATTCTGAAAACAGTAGTTGAAGATCTCTTAAAGTCCAAAAATGGGATCTGCATTTTGAATCACTTCACTTACCCACAAATAGTTTATCTATTTCTGTTCAGGACATGAATTTTATCCATAGCGGATTGGAAGAAGATACAATTTCTTTCCACTTTGAATTAGCTTGCTGTGCACTGATAGAAGGAAAGGATACCATTCACATCTTAACATTGTTGAATTTTGTAGAATGTAGAATTTTTGTTCTAAAAGTTGGTCAACAAGGGACAGGACCATAAACCATGTGCCACCTCTGCTAAAAGTGAATTTTACATTTAATGAGTGCATGTCGTTAAGAATCAAGTCTCACACCTCTTGTTCCCAATGGGATCTAATTGCAGCAACAGAAGGAGAGTTAAGATGATAGATATAGAGAACTGACATCGCACCCTTCAAAGTGGGTCTGAGTTCAAATACAAACTGTAAATCTGGTTATCTTCAGATTTATGAAGGAACCTGGCTGTCATAGTTTGCATATAATATCTGAGCGAAAGAAAATAAGCAGAGGGAAGTCCACATTTGGTTGAAAGTTGTGGGTAACTGGGAAGTTGTCCATGCATATTTTATTCATAGATTATATATTGTGATTATACAAGTGATTCCCAGCAATTGCAAAAAAGCTTTGAGACCAAAACGCTTGCTGAACTATGACAAAATCTGGAGAGAATGTTGAGCTCTAGAAATGGAAGTAATCAGTGAAGGAGAATTTATTTGTAGAGCGCAACATTTCATTCAAGTACAATCCTTGGCGATCTAAGAAGTTACCAATCTGGATATTTTTACTGTTTAAGGATTCCAATGATTCAAAATAGAAAGACATTGAAATGATTACTGTCCACAATAGAGACCGCGACAATGGAGATCATTTGAATAATATTTGCTTGCATGGTCAAAGAGAGGAATAAGTTACTTTTGAACTGGTTGTTGACTTATTTGGTGACACATATCCCAATGTAATTCAAACTGTTCAAATCTACTACTACTACTACTACTATCTTTAAAGGGGACATTTATGTATGTTTTATTTTTATTTAGTAGCCTGATGGTTTACTGAAAATGTCCAACACATCAAGTTCAACGGATAAAGAAGTGAGATCATCCGCGTGGAGCGAGACCTTATGCTCAATTCTTCATCTCCAAATTCCTTGTTTTTCTCTCCTGCATAGAACACAATTGCCAGTGGTTTGATTGCTAATACCCTGTCTTGCCCCGTGGTACAGTTACAATAGCTGTGAGTAATGATATGTATGTTTGAACTGAGAGCTGTGAAAGACGTTTTACCCAGGAACACAATACAGGCCCACAACCAAACCATTCAACAGGAATAAATAGACTCCCACTCCCACCCTATCAATTGCCTTTTTGACATCCATGGCAACAAGGAATTCAGGTATTTGCTGATTGCACCAAACCCACTTCCATTAGCTGAGGTAACACATGTTTTTAAAGTTTAATTGCTTCCTTTGGGCATATTTCACGATGCAAGCAGACTGCCACACGCATCAAATGTTGCCAGCTTTGGTTTGTGCTAAGTTCAGGTTTTAACAGTATTAACTGAAAAGTTGAAGCAAGAAACGTCTGCATGTGCTCCTTCTGGAGGTATACCCTGCAAAGTCAATAAACAAAACTATGAATGACCATAAGTGACTCTTTTTTTGCATTGCTTATATATTGAGATGTATACATTATTTCAGAATGATGTTGTCCAAGACCTGTGTGTGTGTCTGTGTTATACATCTGTTTTCACCATTGGCCATCAACACTTTTTCTTTCACCAGGATGTTTGTGAGGAGCTTCATGAGCTAGCCCCAACGACAGGCCTGCATCATGACGGAGTGGTCTTTGGCTCAGATGACTTCTGTGCCAGTATAGGTAATGTGAGATTTCATAACACTTTTAAGCAACTTTTGTTAAAGTTAAACAAATCATTCTATCAATGTGCAGAAGCCAGTACGTTTCCCATGTTTTGTCTATCTGAAGGCCAAGCTACATGGCACCGTGGCAGCTGCTGATTGGAGGTCTCCATGCCTCCGCTCTGTATAATACACTTGCATTCTGTTGTTCGTGTTGTTCGTGCTGTCTCTACCATCGACAATAAAACATGTCTTCTGTCTGAATTAAAGACGCGATCCCAGACTTTGACATCTTCTTCAGTAACCTTCACTACATAGTTGCCCCCTAAACAACATCAAAATATGAAATCGAAGTCTTTCATTTGTTGTTGCCAGGTGCTACCCGGACAAAAGATGCCAAAGAGTTGCTGTATGCGAGGCAGAAAGTGGTAGTGACCTGTAAGGCGTTTGGATTGCAGGCCATTGATCTGGTCTATATCGATTACAAAGATGTGAACGGACTGAGGCGACAGGCCAGAGAGGGAGCGCTCATGGGATTCACAGGTAAAGTCTTTGCACTTCTGCTCATTCAATTATTCTACACTGTATATGGTTACTTTGTTCCTGTATGACCTCTGTTGGCATCTCTGTAATGTGATATGTATTATTTACTCTTTCCAAATACTAAACTTCAAGGATTTATACTCCTTCCTTTTTAGTTTTTGTTTGTGTTGTCAGTTGATAGGTGCTGATCATGATATATAGTCAAAATCTTTTAAGCCGACGGATGACTCTCCAAACAGCTACACTGGAGATTTAGGTAGTGTAACAGTACAGCCAAAAGCCTACCTGTGCAGTAATCGACCTTGGCACCACTTAAGCTTTACCGTCCTATTCTCACTGAGCAGCAAATCACTGGTAAGACATGAGGACACAGTGTTCTAGCCACGACACAGATGTCAAATGTATTCATGAGGCATCCTTAAACTGTACTTGATGCTTACAATAAGAGAGATTCAAGGGGGGAAAAAATGCATTCAATTTATTCCGTCAATACCATCGTGCTTTGACCAAAGTCTTTATCTGGCCACAAATAAATAATGCATATTGTTGAACGGAAAGAGTCGAGTAAAAGATTGTGAAGAAAGAAGATAAAACATGTTATTTTTTACATACTTAAGCGGGAAGAGCCCTGTAAGTCACTGTTTGACGCATTGGACTGAGAGCCTATTGACTGAGTGATGGTAGTCCTCTCTTTTTCACTTCTCTTAAAACGTCGATCTAAAGAGATGACAGAGGTCCAAAATACGTACATGTGAAAACTACAGAACCAATATGTGTGTGGCATTGCACTTCTGTCCTTTGAGACCTTGTCCATCATTCATCCTGGAGCATTTTGCTAAATAGCGTTCTTCCAATGGGATCTGGACTCTACTTGGCAGGTTTTTATTGGCTGGGGGGCAGGAGTGATGCATTTTGGGAGAACCAATCGCCTGTGAAGAGGGGTACCAGAGTCGCCCTGGATGTCTTTTCACTGCTGTGATATTTGACTGTCACTGCACACTCGAAATGCCACAGAACAAATTCTCCCTTATATTTATTGTGACATAGTGAGTGGCAAATGTTGTAGTGTGAAGTGTTATATTGTAACTGAACTAAACATTGTCTTATAAAAAAAACAAAATGTCTGCGTTTTGGACTTCTACTTAGTACGGCCTCTCTCCTCCTCGTTTCATAAGGAACATTATTGCACTAACTGTACCTACAGACACAACTTAATAAGCTTTAAGATGCGTATCTGAAAGAACAAATTAGTGTATCAAGGGCTCCTGGTTCCTATATTATTATACCATAGTTCTCATTCCCCCAACAGCTGGTGCAGACTTGAATAAACTGGGACTGGATGCACACAGCTGCTCTGGGTAGACTGCACTAGGATGGACTGACCTGCACTAGGGGCAACTAGGGGCAATATGGTAATGTCTGAACAGCCCTGCCTGTTCCTGCCCTTATGGTGAATAAATACTGTATCTCCTGTATAAGAACTCCTGCCTCCTTCATCTTCTTTATGCTCTTGTAATTCTCTCAACCAACTTCCATGAATTCTCAACAGTTACATCGTCTCAAAGTCCAAACAAATAGCTTAGTAGAATTTATTTTAATTTTACAAAGATCTACTATCTCCATCTGAATTGTTTATCACGCAGATCTGTCAAGACGTTGCATTATTACCTGTTTTATTGTTGCATCTAGAGTATTGCACTACAGCCTGCAGTATATGTGTTGGATGGTGGTTTTCTATGTGTGTATGAGAGTATACTGAAATAGGCTTCAAAGTAACTATGAAAGGAAATGTTCAATGTTCTACTCAGCAACAATAGACATACAACAACTTGTATCCAAATGGAGAATTGGTGAAATCTAAGTAGTTTGGTTTTGTGTTGTTCATTCTGTCTTCAGGTAAACAGGTTATCCACCCAGGGCAGATAGAAGCAGTGCAGGAGGAGTTCTCCCCTAGTCCTGACAAAGTCCAGTGGGCCACTCAACTCTCAGCTGCATTTGAACAACACCAGAAGGAAGGAAAGGTAATACGAGATTTATAATTATCTTCCCTTGTTCATGATTATTGTTTTCTTATTTGATTTTATGAGTTTTGCAGGATTTCATCTCCTGCTTCTGGGCTTTTGCTGCCACAATGTCAGCACTTAATAACAGTGACAGTTACTGGACATACCATGAAAGCCCTGTTTTTTAAATGAAATATAAGTTTTGTGTGTGTATCTACTTCAGGATAAGTCTCTTTCCCCCCTCTGATAAGGAAAAAGAGATCTTGCAGTTCTCTTGTGTGTCATCGAGACATGATGTCTTTCCCTTCTCTCAAAGTAATCCTTCCTGTCCGCTCGTCCACACTCCTGTAGTTTTAAAGCATACATACTGTACTCCCTGGGTGATTTATTTCACATTCATTGGAGATGGAAGATAGCCGTTGAAGGTTTTTTCAGGGGGTCGGGCAATTAAGTGTCCAATATTATTGTTCCTAATTTAGTGCATGGTTGGACTCTGTGTGTTGATCTCTGTGGGCTATCTGCTGAGGCAATACACAATCTGCCCACAGTGCGCTCCATGCCAGGGCTGCTCCCAGTCAGCACTGCCCGAGGGAATCATCTCCGGCCCAGCCCTCTGCCATTCCCCATGTTTAATGTGTGTGGAGCCGGGAATGAGCTCTGCAGCCTGTGGTAGAGGGCCATGTATTTTTGTTGTTACACTTGGCAGGTGCTTGTCTTTGGAAAAAACAGAAAAACTTGTATTAAATATATTCAGCCAATAGAATTTGTGAGGTTTTTTTTCTGTGTAGATAGAATAAAATACAAAAATAGAACTCTATTTATTCTTTGTGTCTTTGTGGTAATGAACGGCTAGTCTGGCAGAAGATGTGGGTTTAAAGCAGTTCCTGAGACAGTGAGACCAATTTGTTTTTTATCGCCCTCTTTATTTTGATAATTGCATTTTTTTTTTTTTAAGAGAGTACTTGTTTCCAATCTTTTTTGCAGCCGAAGGGGAAAATTATGAACTTTTCTTCTTCTGTTGAGAGATTTCGTGTCAACGACACTATTGTCGTTTATGATCTGCATCTGTTACGTCAGTGCCATATGTGAATGACATTGGAATAAAAATAAACTGTGAAACTATGAAAAGATTGAACGATGTACTTATTCTCTTCATACATAAATCAGCAGTTTATCAGCAGTTTATTCATAAATCAGCAAGGGAAACTAAAAGGCCAACTAAAAAGTTGGCCTTTTAGTTTCCCCGTGGCTGCGGTGAATCAAGCAATACTACACCTTTTATTACTAGCGCTTTGAGGTTTACTTTAAATATAAGGTTTACACAAACAACTATTCTACATGGTTTGATTTTGTGGCGAAGGGAACATTTACGGGAAATCTTCAACCAGACTTAGGAAAGAATAATCCTTAAAAAGTTACAGAACTGAATAAAGAGACTTGTAGACCGGTGTACACTTGTTTGGTGCTTTCATACCTCAACAAAAATTTCCCAAATTAAGCATAATATGTCTTAAGTAAACCAGAATGAGTCCCAACTGAACCAGAGTTTGCGTCAATAGCTAAACGTAACTGTTTAGAGTTCTCAGTTGTGTTGGAGGATTTAGAAATTCTATTCAAAGCCAAAGACACATATTTATTTATGATCTATAGTACGGGCCTTAACCGCCTCTTTTCTTTGCTTAAACTGTGTGTGCAGGGTGCTTTCACTTTTGGCGGGAGCATGATTGACATGCCGTCTCTGAAGCAGGCCCAGAACATCCTCACGTTGTCAGCAGCGGTGTCGAGCAAATAACCGAACCACGGTGAGAATCAGGACAACACCTTTTCCACCTCAGCAAACGGACACATCTCCACTTGGACACCGTGGACTACTTTTTTCTTGTTTTTTTTTTTTTTATAACTGCATCCCTCCAACTACAACTTGTAATACAGTACAGTAATGGACAGAATATCAAAAACAAAATGGTTGTATGGTCTGTGCTTTTTGTCCTTTTGCCATACGCACACTTGTCTGCCGCACTGTAAACCCATTGAGGACCACAAACTCGAGCAGGTTGTTGTGTTATAAATAAAAGTACAATAGAGCACTTGTGCGTGCCTGACTTCCAGTGAAGTGGGTGTGATGTTGGAGTGAGACAGATTAGTGGCCATGTTGCTCCAGCAGACCAGGACCAGCCCTTTGTCTCTACTGACTGCGGATGGAAGGATAATTGGGGGGGTGTTGAATGGTTAATAGTGCCATTGGTGACCATGGTAATGAAAAGCTGAGCATGCTTCCCTCTGCGCCCCACCTCAGTCCACACTGTCCCATGTCCCGCTCGCTCTTATGATCCATTGTGTCTGGGGCCGGACTGGGGCAAATCTCATCAGGAAGGCAAAAAGTAATATATTTCTCCTCAAATAAATGTCATATCCTTGTGATTTTCAGGACACTTAAAGATGAAAAATCCTTATATTTTCAGATTTGTTATTTTGAAACTGAGTAATAAAGAAGCAAACACATATCACAGAATCGCACCAAGCTTTAGTTGTTCATTATTCAAAACATAAAACATATCATGGCGTAAAGAATGATTCCAACATTTACAAAACACATGAAGCTTAATCATTGCCTGTAAGAGCCTCTTGCGGAAACTTCATCAAAGTAAACATGGATAATGAAGATGCGCTGTTCCCAGACACCGGGTTGTTAATTCTATCTCACATATGATATTAAAGACTCATTTTGAAAAGAGGAAATTGACTGCAAATATTCACTCGCTTCTACAGAGGCTCCCTGTGTGACTTCTACGTTGGTTCCAGATTCTGGTGCCACCAAGAGGTAGGATATTCCCCCCTATTGGCAGGAAGAGGGGTGTCAAAGCAAAGGAAGTTGTTCAAGACTAAGAACACAATAATAGGAGTAATGACGGTTACGAAGCCAAAACGTGTCTTCTGAGGAATCACATGCTCTTGCTTTGTTTTAGTTTCTCCTCAATCCACTGTTAGATACAATTACTCCTCATTTATGAGTGGAACCGATCTTCCCAGCATCTTCATAAAGCTCACACCTTATTTAAATACATTTCACCATTTCCCTTGGAGTGGTAGATAAATTACAATTAACACGATTATAACCTCGCTAAATTGTGTCAGGAATCAATTAGACTGGGAGCGTGCGTTGCGCAGGGGCCTGTAATGTGTTGCTTGAGATTGCCTTTCATAAGTGATGAGGGGGAGAAGGCACGTATGCAAAACACTGTCAGTGGAAAATTAAAATGAAATGTTTTACATATTTTTCCATTAATCTAAATGAGGCCCGTGTGGCTGGGAGTCTTTTTTTTTTATTCGCGCCCGGGGATGCCCAATAATAATGACTTGATGTTTTAATAGACTTCTAATGACGATATATGACAAACTAATTGCTGCATCAGAACATTAGAAAGCCATAAAATACATCTCCATTGCGAATATGAAGATGTAGACCTATGACGTGAAAATATTGAGGCTTTTTTAAACAAACCGACTTATTGTTGTAATTATTTTGTTCTTGTTCAATTCTAATTATAATGAGTAAATGCGTCACCTGTTTCCGGACAACAGACATAACATGGTTGGATATAGCCTGATCCTATATTTGAAAGCCTTGGGGCAAAAACAAGAAAGATGGTTTTGAAAGTTATTAAAATAAACATTTAACACTTGTCAAATATTTTCTGAATGGAATATAGGAATACACGCGTCTTTATAATTACGTAAATCAAAAAAGCAGCCAGATCTATGTATTCGCTGACCTGAAAAGAGGTCAGTTTTTGGCGCTTACACGTTGATGGTGGGACAGCCGCCGCGCCCTTTGCTGCTGTCTGCGCGTGTGCGTGCGTGCGTGCGCGTGTCCGCCTCTGCCTGCATGAGTGATCCACATCATCCGCACATGTGGACCATTACTAACTTCATTTGAAGCGAGCTTTTGTGCTCCGCGTCACCAGACTTCATGCTTGTAATGCGCAGCTACCTTATTTATCATAATTGAGTCCCCTTTATAAAAAAAGATGCAGCTTTTATGATGTAGGTTTTTTTTTACTGATTGTAGGCCTAATTATTATATTTTGAAAATACGTAGGGCAATTTAAAATATTCTACCTTTCGTGGTTGTCTCGTGATGATAATCCGGCCTGTGTGTAGGCCACAGCCTCATTTTAATTCCCCAATATTTCGTGCCAATATTTCGGTGTCTGACTTTAAAATGAAGTCCAAGTCTAATATAATATAGATCTATGTGTTGTTACCACTTCAGCGCAGGCCTCGGTCTGTGGGTGATTTACCTTGCGGTCTTTCCCTCGTCACTGTCCTCTTTTAACGGGACCCGGATCAAAGGCGCGGACACATCTCTCTCCCTCCCGCTTTGTCCGCTGTTGCCAGGAGGAGGAAGAAGACCGAGGAGGAGGAGCGCCTCATGGTAATGAGACTGTCCAGCGACAAAAAGTCGCCGCAACTTAAAAAAATACAATACTTTTTCCCCCCTTTTAGTGCCCATATGTCATCATAGAACACTCTTTTATGAGTTTTGAAGGTTCGTCGAGCTCCAGTTGGATCGGTCCCTGGCAGTATTAGGCTGTGCAATTTGATGAAGTTACTTTAAGTAGATAAAATAAAAAAACATAAATAAACGACCTGCATTAGGCCTAGAAAGATGAACATTGTGTGTACTTTAGACGCGCTTATAGGCCTACCTCTATACAGCTTTAAGAAGGAAGATGCTTGACATGAATAAAATGGCCTCCAAAATGAGCTGCTGTTGACTAATTTGTTTGCTGTTTTACGGTGACAGAGGCTCCCAGACAACAGCAGCCGCAGACCAATAGAAAGTTTACGCGTCCGGGCACAGTCGCTTTGAGGTGCGGGGAGAAGGGCAGAGAGACTCGTAAAATGTTCTCACAGTCTCACCTGTGTCACAAGCTCACCAAACAAGCTGCAGAAAAGGAAACATAGGATACTACACGAAAGATAATATTATGATTCGTTCTTCCAAACTCTTGGGGACATTTGGTCACAATAGCCAGACCATTGAAATATAGAAAGAAAAACAAAAAACCTTAAATCATCTGTAGTTTTGGTTTATTATAAGGCTTATATTTTTCACCTATTGTATTTTCTGAGAGTTCTGGTGCCCCTTAATCCTCAGCCTTCTTCCTGTCTCTCAATTACCTCTTGATCCGCCTCTTTATTTTTCCGTGTTTTTGTTCAGTCCTGTTTCTGTTGTTTGTGGCGTGGAGCAGGTGAAGGCCGCGCACCTGCACGCACAGCTGCGCGCACCTTGTTATTGCTGTCGCTGCGTGACGCACGGCGCAGTGCACGGCCAACAGCATCGCGCACGGACAGAGCGCAAAGGCAGCTTTAGCGGAGGACACGAGTGAATAACGCGCTCAGACATAGCCTAATGGATTATTTTATGAAACGTCTCCGGCTCACAAGCGCGGTTTCTATCAGTTTGCTTGTGTTTTGTCATGCTTGTACGTGGCACACTCTAATCCAATTAAGGACGATAACCCTGGACACACATTATTCTCTCGCCCCTGTCTCCTTAGACTCGCTGACAGCCACTCGTGGTTCAGTGTGAAAGAGAGTCAAGAGCCTTCTCTCTTAATCCTGACACGACGAGCTGTGGCTGAAAAACAGAAGAAAGAAAATGCCTCATTGACTCACTCGCGTTTGTTTTCTTTGTGCCCAGACTCGGACTTTTTTGTTTGCAATATTCATTTCATGTTAACATCAATGTGTTTTTTAAAATTGTATAAATAAGTGAAGTTAACAAAACAGAAAGACAAACCAAACCATAAACAAAAATTAACACACATTTTACACTAAATATTCTATATACATCACTCAATATTTATTGTTGGAAGTTCTAAGTGCAGTGATATACACACACATGTTCTGTGTCCTTTTAAATAATACACTCTTATGTCGCCATCATTTATTATAGGTGTTGCAAAATGACAGGTAATTGACATTAATCCGCTCTCTCTGAGACTCAGGGGGGATCTAAAGTAAATGGGGATACGGTTAATGAAGCACCACTTGCCCTTTGCATCCCGGTCACAGTGTGCAGCAGGAAGTTTGTGAAACTTCTCTTTTTTGTTTGACACCGGCTGCTCTCCAGCCATGGGTCTCCGTGGCCTAATATGATGAGATTTATGATTGGAGCATGAGCACGGAAACTTTGTGGAAACGAGCGCATTATACTTGGTAAATGATGACTCCGTGTGTTTGCATGACATCTCTAGTGGAAATGATGCTTTCCTGAGTGGCTCCAATAAAGCAGCATTACCATGTGCTCATAGGGCCTTGTTATTATGCTTATTAGGATTCACATCGGTGTGTGCTCTCTATAGGAGAGTGACAGACAGCAGAGGCCAGGTGGGAGAGGTGCGCTGCAAGTGAAGGCACTTGGAGCTCTCCTCCGCACGGGATGCTACAGGGGCCCGCGTAATGAGGGCACCTATGGGGACCTCCCGGATGGAGAGGTGTCCTGACCTCGCCTCGACCGAGTTCACAATTGGACCGCGTCGACACCTGCCTCTCCCCCCTCTTCTTTTCCTTCTTTTCCCGAGCAGTGACTGCCAGCGCACCCCCGTCAAACCAAGAGTTCAAGAGGAGCGCGGAACTGTTTGACAACGATAATGATGTGCGTGGCGGTGCTGAAAATGTTAGGAGGGGTAGTAATAGGGAAATAAGGCTTTGAGTGTCTTATTTTTACCTCAGGACCTATTCACTTGTGATGGAAGAGCAGCACGCCGAAAGCCTCCCACTGAA